TGTGTTAGTCCTGTGTTAGTCCAGTGTTAGTCCTGTGTTAGTCCAGTGTTTGTCCTGTATTAGTCCTGTGTTAGTCCAGTGTTAGTCCAGTGTTAGTCCAGTGTTAGTCCAGTGTCTGTCCTGTGTTAGTCCTGTGTTAGTCCAGTGTTAGACCTGTGTTAGTCCTGTGTGAGTCCTGTGTTAGTAGACTGTGTTAGTCCAGTGTCTGTCCTGTGTTAGTAGACTGTGTTAGACCAGTGCTGCTACTGACGTGACTCTGTTTTCACAAACATCATTACCACGACAACACACTCGCGGTGATTGCTGTGGACGATCGCTACTTTTTTGTTTCATTGGCTCCTCTGGACCGTCAGCAAACGTCATAGGGACGGAGATGGTTCGCAGGAAGTCCGGCAGCTCTGACTTAGACCTTTGCATTCCCTCATAGAGCTGCACTGGAGAAGGGCCGGAAGTACTCCTGCTGCGGCAGCTTTTGTTGTAGTCGTTCTTCGTCTTCTTGTTGTTTTTGTTTTTTGTTGCTCTCCTCCATCATTGCTTCCAAAATATAACAGCTGACTGTGTCTTGACTTAAAAAGATAAGATCAGAAAATATAAGATCGGATAAGATGTACCTTTTTTGGAATTGAAATTTTTATTTGACACATCAGCACAAATAAATCCAATAAAAAGAGATTGGAGGAAATTCAGTTACGGAAATGTTAAAATGATAAATGTAACTATTCTGTTGTGTTTAGTTTGTGTTTAGAGAGTTCGTTAGTGTGACAGGCTAGTGGGCTACAGCCAAGATGTCGTCAATGAGAGGAGACAGCAGCTGGTCCCAGCCGCGGGACATGAGCAGTCTCATCCAGGCGTGCAGTTTCAACATCCAGAGGATCAACCAAAACTGTGAGCTGACTGCATCCAACACACACACACACAAACATCTGTTCACACCTCCACACATGAATTACATGTTTACTGACGTGGTTCCCTCTCTCTGCAGCTGGTCAGATCAAAAGTCTCCTCTACCAACTGGGAACGAGCGAGGAGACCACAGAGCTGCAGGAGAGGCTGTGAGTGCTTGTCTGGCATCAACCGTATCCCATGCATGTTATCATCAGTTGATCCAGTCTGTGAGCACTGCAACAACTCAAAAGTTTGGTCTAAGTGTTTGTTTGTGCCTCCCTGCAGCCAACAGCTCCAGCACTACACCAACCAGCTGGCTAAAGAAACCAACAGACACCTGAAGGAGCTGGGAGCGCTGCCCCCCCCACTGTCTCCATCAGAGCAGGTCAGCGTAGAAGCTTTTTTCAATCGATCAGGCTGCATGTTTAGATAAATAATATTAGATCCTGAATGAGATGTTTTAACAGTCTCCACCTTAGAATTATTAAAGAACTATGTAGCCAGCATACGATGTGCTATGTTTGCTATTTATTCATAGATGATTTATGGATCTCAGGTGAATGCACCATAAATTAGCACAAGCACCTATAAACGTATTTATTCATGCAGTTATCCAATCAGCCAATCATGTGCTCTCAAAACAGCCTCAGTTCTTCATGTCGTCAATTCTACAAGTTGTTGGAAATTTTCCTTTTGAGATTCTGCTCTACCACATCACAAAGGTTCTGCTGGACTCACATCTGGTGACTGGGGAGCTCACTGAAGTGCAGTGAACTCAGTGTCTGTGTCTCTTCATCTGTTGTGTTTGTGAGTGTGTGTCCTCTGCAGCTTCACGTATCGCTTCTTGGCCGACATGTGTGGAACCTGATTTAGTCTCTGCTGTTGTAGAATATCTAACTATCTAATTGTTGAACATCAGACATCATGTGCCCACTGTTGATGTGCTAAAAAACAGTTTGTTTGCACCACTGTGAGTAAAACTGTCAGACTGTGGTGTGTTGTGTGAGATCAGCACTTTCAGAACAACATGTGGTCAAACTCACTGAGATCACGTCTCCTCTATTCTGATGTTCAAGGTGAACATTACCTGAAGATGTATCTGCTTCAGTTTAAACACGTGTGGATGATTTAATAAATGCACCAGTTATCTGGTGCACAGTTGTTCTTAATAAGGTGCCCTGTTAGCCATCAAATTAAAAGGTCCATCGTGTAGCATTAAGGCTGAAAACACAAACAGGAATAGACCCCTCAGTCCATGCTCATGATGGTGGTGCTGAAACACAGGGACTGTGAAGGGTCAGGTGAGGTCAAAGGTCATGGACCATATCTGAAAACATCCACAGCTCCTGGAGCGCCTTAGACAACCTTGCTGCCAGCTGGTGAAACGAACAATACTGAACAAAACTGAAATCACAAATAATTTATGATTTATCTAAATGATCACAGTCCCTTCTGTCTGTCTCTGGTTACAATTGGGGGAAATTAAATTAGTTCTATTCTCACCATGAAAAGTAAATAGACTGAGTGACATGCACTGTGTTGTCCTCTGCTCTGTTTCAGGACTATGGACAGTGCCACACCTGGAAACCTCAAACTGAGCTGTCCATTGTTCTGAAACAATAGCTCAGCAAGAGTCACATGTATCTGAGATAATGACTTTCTTATGTTTGTTGAAGTTACACACAGAATAAACAGAGAAGGCCCTGGACTGTGGGGGCACACAGTATTCATGCAACACAATATGATCTTTTTATTTAA